TGAAACCAACTCTATAATCCTGCTGACAAAATAGTATCCACTAGTGGCATGGATGGGAGATTGCAAACCAAACATACTTTTTTGGAGCTATTGCTTTGATGCCCTACAAGAGGTACCACAGAGTAATCTTCCAAAAGGCCTCATTATCTTACTAAATGGGAAGATTCACAATAGCAAAGGCAGTACCTCAAGTAATCAAGCCTAATACAAATCTTTCACTACAAGCATTGTCTGATCTTTGTACCCTGTATCAGATAGCAATCTATCTATTGCATTTTTGCACCAATTACTATTTTCAAGTACACTTTAAGAAGAGCCATAAGATAAACATATTGCAGAACTCAGACAGGTTGCAACTAAAGAATAGATATGTTATGTGATAGCCTTCACCTGCAGATTCAGGATTGCTGCCAAATGGCAAATCTGCTCCTCTTGAGGGAGGGCAATCTCATCCAAAACAGGTTTTACCACACTCTCCAAGTCCAGCTTTCTGTTTTCCAAAAGCACCTTTGTTTTGTCTTGATTTAATTTCAACTTGTTCTCCCTCCTCTGTTATCAAGTTTAATGTTGACAAGCTAACTGCTTCCTTGGAACTAGATAAGCAATAATAGAGATGTACATCATCCCTAGTTTAAAAAACTGTTCAGTTAAAAGGCCCATCCAGTCTAATGTTCCCCACTCCCATGCTTTTCACTCTCTATATAGAGAATATTGTGTTGCAATTATTTTATTTCTTTAATCAATTTGTAAAACTGTCCCACACTTCTCAGGATTTCTTCAAGGCGGATGCCTGAGGAGGCTATGTGCAAATTAGATCCTTGCTCTTCAATGTGAATTTCTAACAAGAACTGGAGTACATGGATTCAGCTGATAAATCAATGCACTACTAAAGGAGGAGGGGGCAATGCCTTCAGCCATTAAAGAAGCTGTGCTCTCTTTTTAAAAATACTTCCATGGATCCACTTATCCAACCTACTACTGCTTGAAAAAGTTGCAGAAAAGGTAGCTAGGCTTCAACTACAAAAGGGTCCTGGATGAGACAAGATTATCTGGATCCTTTCTAAACAAGGCATGAAACAGAGCACTTATTTTTGTAGATGCAACTTGAAACAGCTGTGATACTCTCTCCTTTCCTGTAGACCTCTGTGCAAGTTTCGGTATCATAACATGGTATCTTTTTGAACTGCTTGCAAGAGAGGGGGATTGGAGATAGTTTTGAAGTAGTTCCACTCTTTTCTGAGAGGGTGGTATCAATCTGATGCTGTTGCAGAAGAGATGTCAAGCCTTTGGATACATTTCTGCTTGGGCCTTTATAACCTTTGGAACAGTCTCCTTCATGTAAAATCTGTACTATGTTCATGATCTATTAGAGAATGGATACCCCAGATGGGGGGGGGGGAAGGAGATGGGAACCCAGAGGCTTGATTTTCTCAGCAATAGACCCTTTCCGCTGGAACACCTTGCCCAAATCAGATGTGCCTCTTCCATGTTTCAGAAGATGACAAAAACAGACTTTTTAAAGACATCTATATTTATTGGTTTTACTAAGGCATTTTATTAAAATTTTATTTCGTATATTGTAAGCCACATAGAATTGGCAAGTGGGTGGCAAAAAAAATCTCAATATCTGCACATTCACTACGGTTGTCCAACAAATTGCAGTTAAACTGCATGTGCCCACCTAATTTTCTCTTGTATGATTCTGTCTGATTGTTTAAAAAACAAATTACCTTTGCCAAAGTTGTTAAGCTGATGATATTCTTTCTTCTTCTTGGAAACAATCACGTGAAAAAGAGAGCAGGCAGTGCAGATGTCACGCTAGTCTCTTTGCTAGCATTTTCCAGGGATTTGCTAGAAACAAGTGCCTAGTTCTATTCTGACATCCCGAACCGCATTCATCCAATATCTTATTCCAACTGTTTCTGACATCAGGCGGAAACCGCTTATTTAACTAAAGGCTTCAGCACCTTCTGGCGATGGACGGCTATGTTTGGTCTTTTCGATCGAATCTACTTAAAAGACTTGCTGCACAGCTTGGCCTTGTAAATCTTTTAAACTGTATGGCGTGCTCACTTGTGCACCTTTCGCGTTTTTTTTAAATATATATATATATATATATCCTAAAGCTACCTTGCGCACTTTGTTAACGAGAGGCTTCTTTATTCGCTAAGCACCTTCAAATTATAAGCCTATAATTATTCCACAAACATTCAGTGAGAGGCCGAACTGAGGCGACTGAGAGGCTACCGTATCGGCCGCCTCGCCTCCCCCTCACGCGTCGCTCCCTCTCGAGGGCGGGGCTACCTATCCGCTTCAGCGACAGTCCGTTAAGAGCGCGAGACCCCCACCAACCCGCCCTTCTCGCGCTCTCGTCACGCGCATCCGCTCCGCAGCCCCTCCCCTCACCATGCTGAGGCCGAGACTGAGGCAGCCAGGCCGTCTGTCCAACTGTCACTCTCGTCAAACGGCAGCGCTGTGGCCGTTTCGAACTCGGGCGGCCTGTCCGGTTGGTTGAAGGTTTCCGCCGCCTCTCAACGGCTGTCGGGTCTCTTTTTGGACTCTTTATTCACCTCCCTCTCGAACGGGTACCAAGCAGGGAAGAAAATTTAGCAGAGTTCTCGGTCAGAAAAGCGAACTACGCAGCGGGAGTCACTGCGAGCGCGTCGTACGGCAGCCATTTTCTCAAGACAACGAGGAGCGATTGCGAGCGCGCGAGGGAACGTCAGCGACCGAACGAGATGGAGCAGGCAAAGCGGCGGAGCGCGCATGCGCCTAGACCAACATAAACAGAAAAGGAGCGGAGACCTTCACGTGGACTGCGCTTCCCAGAAGGCTGCGCGCGGTCCCTGTGACTTATTCCCTTCGTATTTTGCGCTAGGAAACGTAAGCGTCGCAAGGGACTCTGGGAGCTGGCCAAACCAGTCGGCGCTGGGATTGGCTGGTTTAGGGCTTTCGAATTTAGAAAGTAGGGAATGGTTTTTTTTCCCTTCAGTTACGGCTATGGAAGGGCAGCCCCAGTTACAAACTTCTTGTATTTTGCCTCCTTAATTCCCAGATGAGAAAGAGGAAAATTTATTATTTATTTATTTATTAATTATATTTCTATACCGCCTTTCTCGCGTAGGACTCAAGGCGGTGTACAGTCAAGAAAAATATAGACACACAAACATCATAAAATTTAAAATAGGGGAAGCACTCTCTATATTGCCCCAGGACTCCCTCAAATGCCACTCTTCAGTTTTTAGGTTGCACGAGCAGAACCTCCGCATCGGGGGGGGGGGGGGCCCACCTTGGCCACTTTAAAGACACGTGGACTTCAATTCCCAGAATTCCCCATGCTGGCTGGGGAATTCTGGGAATTGAAGCCCACAGGTCCTTTTAGTGGCCAAAGTGGGACACCCCTGCTCTAGATGATCTGTCACAATTTTTGCAGACAAAAGCAGAATAGCATAAAATGTAGATGTAATGCATTTACTAGACACGCTTCCAAATAAGGATGTACATACCGAAGTTTTATTTTCTCCTTTACTAAAGCTAAGATTTAAGTATGTGGACTGCAATTTTATCCCGTTGTTATTTTTGACGCTAATCATCTTGTTTGGTGTCTTTCTTAGATTTCAGTTCCTGTTTGTGATTTATCCCATGTTCCTAAACCTATAAAAAGTTATGTAAATTGCTGGTGATATCAATGTTCATAGCACAGAATACAGTTTATTCCTGGTCTGTGCAATGGTAAAATGCATATCGGTAAAGAATGGGTACCGAGCCTTAAATCTGTATTTAAAAACTGGGTTGAGTTCAAATCTGCATTATGGTACCTGCAGTAACTCACTGATAAATAAATACTATTCTGTATATGTGGTAAGGCCTTTTCCCACTTATATACTGGAGATTACCTCCCCCCCCCTTTGAAAACAAGTGGAGAATTTTCACAGACCGTACTTCTAGATCAAACTTAAATTGAGTTCACTGCTTCTCAAGGGGGGGGGGGGGAATTACACCGATCTCCATGCAGATTTAATGAAAGTCCATATGGGGGAGCTGCTGAGTTGCTTTCACCAGAGAAAGCTCCTGGTTGTTCTCCAATGTGGCTGTATTTTCCTTTTGTGTATGCATTTTTCTCTTGGGCGGAAATATTGTCGTTACCCATCTGAATGCACTGAATCCTTCTCAGCTTTGTTTTCCCTCTGATGGAAGAATTCATAGCTTCTCTTAGCACGGTTTGTATAATCTTTGAGATTTCAGTTACTGACGCTCATGTTTTCTTTCTTTCTTGAGGATGAATTCCTTAATTGTAGCCGTTGCAACCTTCTAAATGTGGAGGCTGCATGTGCTGTAGAACTAATAGACTTCATCTGGAGCACTGATGTAAGCTTGTTTACATCATCCTCCAGATATGATAGATTTGGGGCTTCAGAAACTCCTCCAGTTAATCCTCCAGCCTTTGTTTATGCTCAAAATTATTGAGATGTCGCTGGGCTTGACTAATAAATTGGAAATGGAAACTTTGTGGGATGTGTGTGTGTGTGTGTGTATATAAATAGTTAAAAGGGGATTTATTTGCTAAATTGAAGATTTTCATGTACGAAATTTGGCTAATTTGGATTAGATTTCTATTAATAGAAAGATTCTAAAGCTACTGCTTTTAAACAATTGCAATCTTTAAATATATTAATTTGCTACTGATCTGTTAATACAAATGCTTCTTTTGTTACTAGACTAGACATATCACTGGATGAACTTTCAAAATATAAATCTTTGTTTAATGATAAATGCAGTTTTCCAAGAATATTGAGATAATGGTTATTAAGCAATTTGATCTGCCATAATTTCTATTCTTTTAACAAATGTTATTTAAAAAAGAGTTATAGGAGGTATTACCTCCTATACTTTGAATATTAAACAATCCTTCTACAATTTCTAGAGTTGTGGCCCAAATTTGTGACTTCATAATCCTAGGATAGCTTTTGAAAGTCATCCATTTCTTCTTCCAGGGATTGGGAAAGAACTCCAACCACTATCAGCCACTGAGATTGGTTTCTTCCAGTGTCAGGAAAGACTGATGTCATCAGAAGGGTCAAAAAGGAAGCGATGGTTCTGTAGAAGATGGACTGAGATAGTTTGCATTTGCCAAATTTCTAAGAGACCCCAGATTCTTTGCTGATTCAGAACTGGAAGAGGTTTGGATATATGTAAATATATCCCTTTTCATTTGATTCCATTCCCTTCATAATTGGAAATCAGTAAAAGAATGTGGAAGAAATTAGATGCAATGCCTACCACTTTCATTTTTGTGAAATTTGATGTTCTTTTGATTTGGGCAATTTAGTGAAACACCACCTCAAGTCTTGTTTGAACTATCACAATTTTCTGATTTATTAATTATGTATGTGTTTTGCACCTATGGTGATCAAGATCATAGTCCAAAGTATTTTTGTAGTTTTTTATAATAAAAACCATAATTTACAAATGCCAGAATGCATGTAAATATATACATTTTTCCTTGGGGGAAAATGCCTTTTTGTCTTTATATCTGTACAATTTATTTGTCTATACAGGTACTGTAGTTCTCAACTAACCACCACAATTGAGCCCATAATTTCCATTCCTAAGCAAGACATTTCTTAAGTGTATTTTGCCCCCATTTTATTATCTTTCTTGCTAGAGTTGTTAAGTGAATCACTGCAGTTTTTAATGTTAGTAATATGGTTATTAAGTGAATCTGGTTTCCCCATTCACTTTGCTTGTCAGAAGGTTGCAAAAGGTGATCACATGATCATGGGGATGCTGCAACTGTCATAAGTGAAAAACAGTCATAAGACTCTTTTTTCAGTGCAGTGCCATTGTAACTTCGAATGGTCACTAAATGAATGGTTGTAAGTCGAGGGCTACCTGTATTATACTCCTCAGTGCAAACTACCCTGGCTTCTAATTTCTTTCTGGATGCAATTCAAGGCATTGATTATCACCTTTGATAAGCCTTGAATGGCACAGGACCAAATTATTTGTGAATCAATTCCCTCTCCCTGAGGTCTTGCCCATCCCACCACGTCAAATAGGGTGTGTGTACGTCAAGTCTCTTTTCTTAACTGTTGTCATCTAGAGGGACCTAAGAGGTACCCCTTCTATATAGTTGCCCCTGCCCTGTGGAATTAGCCTCCTTTCTGACTAGGCCTCTGCTCTTTCAGTAGGCTGTGAAGTGCTGCCTCTTCCTCAAGGCAATGAGCTCAACAAATGTATAAGAGTGTTGCATTTGGGATGCCATGAGGTATAGTTATGGTGTTAGGTTTATTCTTTTCTGTTGTGTTGCTTTTTCTGTGAACCACAGAGGATTATTGTACCCATATAAGTCTCTTAAATATATAGACTCTTTGACAGAAGAGTGGGAGAGATAGAAAACTGCTACTCTAGAGAAGAGCTAGAAGAATATATCTACTGTATTACTAGGAAGATCTGACTAGGCTGTGTGAGCCTTTTACCATACACTTTTATTCAAGGGTTGGCTATAGCTTGATTCTTCTATTTAGCAGACTCAAAAGAATTCAGATGGTAACCATCAAGAAAAATACTGTATGAGCCTTCATACTGTAAGGCATGCAAAGTGATGACAATTTCTCTGTATTTTCACAGACCAAAAGAGAATCCCTGAAAATATGAACTTGGCAACATTCACAAAATCCTGGATATTTTGGGGTTGTGCTGCCATTAGAAAAACTGGCTTCACTCTGAGGGGAAATGCTTCATCCACAGCAAAGAGAATGCCAAGGACTGAAATGAGATTGCCTTCTGGAGGATCCCTATCATGAATCGATACACAACTATCAAACAGCTGGGAGATGGGACATATGGCTCTGTCCTCCTAGGAAGAAGTATTGAATCAGGAGAGCTGATTGCCATTAAGAGGTAAGGGACCTTTCTGAATTGCTGTCCTTTTAACCCTACATATCACATTTGAGCATCAGATAATGACATATGTTCATATTTTTGAAGATTGTGGTTCAAACTTGTTCTAACACAAGGATATCGCTTCAACTTTTCAAAGGCAAAGTTGATCCTTTAGTTGGGAAAAATTAGTATTTCATTTATTTTGAAACCACTAAATAAAAACTCAGATTTTCAATTGTACTAACCTTGAGACTGATTTTCAACCACTTGGGAATACAAAATAGCTTTTTGACTGTTTCCCCCTTACATAATTAGATTTTCATATTACACAAAAATCTGCTTTTGAAAATTCTTTTCATGTTAGAAAATGAAAACAAATGTTTGAGAAACAACCAAAAAAAAAAAAAAAGCATAGAGGTACAGAATGAGTTTGTAGATTTTTGGTTGTTGTGGGCTTTGAATTTATTTCTCCAGTCTTATGTCACAATGGAACTGGAGTACAAATTGTGCCCAATAATAGAGTTCTTATTCCTTTTGCAGAATGAAGAGAAAATTTTATTCCTGGGAGGAATGCATGAATCTTCGTGAAGTCAAGGTACTTTACACTTCCTTCTGATTCCCTGAAGGAGTTTCAGTTTTAAATCAGCTGTGTAGTATTGTAACCTACACTTTGTTTTTCTAAAACCTTTTTTTTCCTGAAAGTAAGACAGATCTATGTTGTTTGTGTTTATAAATGATGCAAGAAAGCTAAACAGGCTTTCTTGAGACTACTTCAAAGGTAAAAGTTTAGTGCTACATTTAAATTGTAGGTGGTGACTGTTATAAACAGACATTTGATTTGGGCAATCAGTAGTTGATAGAAAAGGCAACAGGAAATTAGTGCTAAAAAACCACAGTAGCTATACAAGGGTTTTCATCTCCAGTGTGACCATGTCCATGTCACTTTTTCTAGTATTACTTTGAAGTTATTTTGCTCTTCAGATCAGAGCTGTTTTACGAACGAACTGAGGCAGGTTTGGTAACATGCTTGGTCCTTCTCTAGCTATGAAAAGGGAGATCTATTGACAGGCCTTCTAAGACTGTTGTGAAACTGACTGACATATCCATTGCCCAGCAGCTGGCATGTAAGCATCTAAATAACAAAACAATTGTGAAAATCTATTGTAAGTATAATGGGAAGATGTGGAAGAAAGAACCTGAGACTGCAGTGTTCATACTGCCTTTTTCAGAGCTGGAAGGAGTGTTAATCAAAAGCTTATGGTTAGATGTTGCATTTCGCTACATGAAGATCTCTGTAAAGAAATTGGCTTCCTTGGTGCTGAAAAGTGAGTTGTGCGAATTACCATCAGCACACAACTTGAAAGACTGGGGCACTGCATACATCTAGATCCAATTTTGTTTGTTGAATGGGGTCATATTTAAATTTAGCTGCATCTTAAATTACATTTCTAGAACAAAGATTCATTGTCTCTTATCTTGAAGTCTGCTGTGTCACAATGTCTGTAATTGTTTTCTGTTTTTTTTCTCCAGTCCTTGAAGAAACTTAACCATGCCAACGTAGTGAAACTAAAAGAAGTTATCAGAGAAAATGATAATCTGTACTTTGTATTTGAGTATATGAAAGAAAACCTTTATCAGTTAATGAAAGAAAGGTATGTTGTTTTTCTCACAGACACAGTTCAATGGCATAACCTAAGAAAGAGGGAGAGATCATTTGGCTTCCCAGATGTTATTAAACTAAAACTCCCAATAGCTCTCTGGACTTAGGCAAAGGAAGATAAGAATGATAATTTGTAGCGCTCTGAAGGCATGTAAGAAACAACTAGTTCAAGGATCAGCAAAAGCATTAGGTTAGAAGATAGAATGAGAAGTTTAGCTTTCCACTACTATGAGTCCTCAGCTATGCTTTCTGCTGGAGAATTACTTAGTGAAAACTGCTTGTTTATTTGTTAAATTTATTTGCTGCCCATTTCATATCGAAACAATGCTGTGTGGCTTACATCATTAAAACGTTAAAATCCTAAAATTTAATATTTCTGAAACAATAAAAATGGAAAGCATATATAATAGATATAGATATAAAAGCTGTGATAACATAATAAAAATTGAAGTCAAACTTCTTCATCATCAAATATATATTTTATATACAACAAATGCCGCCTCTGCAAAGAAGTTGAAATAATAGACCATCTAGTTAGCTGCTGCAAGGTCACACAGACTGATTACAAACAACATGACAAAGAATCAATAGTGGTGCACTGGAATATCTGCAAAAAATATCATTTGCCTGCAAGTAAGAATTAGTTGGTCTACAAAATAGACAAAATTATACAAAATAAAAGGGACTAAAATAATCTGGGACTTTAGAATTCAAGCAGACAAACATCTGTCACACAACATCCCAAATTTAGCAATTGTTGATAAGAAAGACCAAAGAGTCTGGATTATAGACGCTGCATTACCTGGAGACAGCAGAATAGCAGATAAAAAACTGGAGCAGAATCACAAAATACAAAAACTTGCAAACGGAAGTAGAATGACTGTGGCAAAAGAAAGCAAAGGTAGTAGTATCAACAGTAAAATGGGCACCTTGGGTGCAATCCCAAAACATCTGGAGTACCACTTGATACCATTGGCATTGACAAAATCACCATCGGTCAGTTGCAAAAGACAGTTTTACTTGAAACAGCTGACATCTTGCAATGATACCTTTAATAATATTAAACAACATCTGCCTATCCAGATCCTTGGAAAGGAGTCAGTAAGTAGACAAGAATGTCAAATCCAGTCTAATCATCTGGCTAACTGACCAACTGTAATAGATCTGATACTTCATGTAGCCAAGGCACAATGGTATTCTTGGGGTTTACTTTAAGTTAGCATTTCTGAGAAATAGCAACAGCTGGGTTGAACCACCATTTCAGTTTTCCATCATCCGTGGAGTCCAGAGGAGGGATATTTATTTATTTATTTATTGGGCATACAGCAACAATGGGTTCTGCTTTAACTTCACCACGTGCCCAAGGATACCAAGAGCTAATGCCAATGCTCAACCAGTAGGCTGGCACTCTGACTAGCATGGCATTTGCATCCTTGTTTTTGTTTTTTTTTAAATTTGATTTATATGCCGCCCTTCTCCAGAGACTCAGGGCGGCTTACAATGCACTAAGCAATAGCCTTCATACTTTTGTATATTTATACAAAGTCAGCTTATTGCCCCCACAAACTGGGTCCTCAATTTACCTACCTTAGAAAGGATGGAAGGCTGAGTCTACCTTGAGCCTGGTGAGATTCGAACTTACAGTAATTGCAGACAGGTGTTAATCACAATGCTATCAGTCTGCTGAGCCACCAGGCCCTGAAGCCCTTGTTCTGAAGCTGAGTAAGTTACTGTGAGAATCTTTTTCTCAGTTGCTTATATGACATCAATAACAGTCAAGCTACATGTGAGTGTCCTAAATACAGGTAGTCCTCAATTTACAACCACAATTGAGCCCAAAATTTATGTTGCTAATTGAGAATTGTGTTAAGTGAGTTTTGTCCCATTTAAGACTTTTCTTGCCACATTGGTTAAGTGAATAACTGCAGTTGTTAAGTCAGTAACACAACTGTTAAGTGAATCTGGCTTCCCTATTCACTTGGCTTGTCAGAAAGTTTCAAAAAGTGATCCCAGGACACTGCAGCCCTTATAATGTGAACCAGTTGTCAAACATCTGAATGTAAATCATGTAACCATGGGGATGCTGCAACACTTTGTAAGTGTAAAAAATAGTAATAAGTCACATTTTTTCAGTGCCTCTAACTTCAAATGGTCACTAAGCAAACTGTTGTAAATTGAGGATTATCTGTAAATAAATAGAAGAGGACTTGCTCCAGAACCAAACGATTTCAGAATGTCTGAGCTAATTTGCTTGTGTTCTGATCTATTTATAGCCTCCCACTATATCTGCACTTCGGAAATGATTGCCGATAAAAAACCTCATATGTGAATATTAACTTTTGAGTTCTGTTTCTGCTTTACAGGAACAAATTGTTTCCAGAGTCCACTGTTAGGAATATTATGTATCAGATTCTTCAAGGCCTTGCATTCATACATAAACACGGTAAGATTTAAATGACAAATTGGATGGTTCTCTGCGTCTGTATGTATAACACAGAAGGAATGTCTCAGATATATGTGGACAGAAACTTCTTGTTTGCGTTCAGGGAACTAAACAATATTATCATCAAGGTTTTCTGAAAAGCCCTGTTGTTAAATAAATAGTTACTTCTTAATGATAGTTCTGAATCCCATAGAAACCAAAGGAACTGATTTCAGGTCAGCTGACATAGTGCTGCACTGATATAAAATGTGTTATTTACATCTGTTCTTTTATTAAACTGATCTATCATATAAAAGGATTAAGAGTTGATAATCCCAACAGTGTTCTCATTTTTAAGTCAGGATATTTCAACGGGAGAATATATAGCAAGTTGTGTTGCTATTATTGTTTCAGGCTATAACAGTAACACCATGTTAGTATCATTCCAAATTTTAAATATTTTATCCATAAAACCCAGGAATCTTTCAGTTTATGATTTTTGTTGTTGTTGTCCAGTCACTACGTTGTGTCCAACTCTTTGCAATCCCATGGACCATAGCACACCAGGGGCCCCTGTTCTCCCCTGTCTTCCGGAATTTGCCTGATCTCATGCCCACTGCATCGATGACACTATCTCATCCTCTGCTGTCCCCTTCTCCTTTTGTCTTCCATCTTCCCCAACATCAGAATTTTTTTCCAGGAGTCCTCTCTTCTCATTGGGTAGCCAAATATTTGACCTTCAGCATCAGTATCTGTCCTAAAGAACAGTCAGGGTTGAGGTCCCTCAGGATTGATTGATTTGATCTCCTTGCAGTCCAAGGGACTCTCAAGAGTCTTCTCCAGCACCACATTTCAAAAGCATCAATTTTTTCTTCAGCTGTCCTTATAGAGTCTATATATAATCAATGTAACTATTTTTGCTTTCTATTCAGAAATACTAATTTTCATGCTTACTTTTGTTTAGTAAGGTTTTTGTTCTGATCTTTACCTCCAAACTTAAAGCACAACCAAATAACTTTTTTTCTAATTTAAAAACTATAAGGTGAAAACTAAGCAGAAGGATGAGAGAAAAGCCTAACCAGTGTTTGTCTTTTCACACAGGTTTTTTTCATAGGGACTTAAAACCTGAGAATCTCCTTTGCATGGGACCAGAACTTGTGAAAATAGCAGATTTTGGACTTGCACGTGAAATTAGATCCAGACCTCCCTATACAGACTATGTTTCGACACGGTGGTAAATACTTAAGTTAGAGTCTTATTAGTTGGATTATTAGCAATAATTATTGACACTTCTATTTGAATTTTCTTTTTTGTATCTGTTAGGTAAATAATGAAGTTAAATCCAGCTTTGAGCATATGCAACAGGGCTGATAAAAAAAGAGCACTCCTTTCTGTATCAATCTCTCTAATGCAGGGCTTCCCAACCATGACAACTTTTAAGATGCATGGACTTCCACCTCCTAGAATTCCCCATGGCTGGCTAGGGAATTCTGGGAGTCGAAGTCCACAAGTTGCTAAGGTTAAGAAACCCTGCTCTAGGCCCTCATTACATGGAGGATCAGGAGGCCCAGCTGAATTGGTTGGCTATAAAGAGAAAAGGTAGACCCAATAGAAACACGTCCATGTCATGACTTCACTAATTCAAAATCGGCTCGATGTCTCTAATCACATGATGTTAAGCTGTTCTTGAGAGCTCTGCCCATACGTTCTTGGCTTAACTATAGTACATTTGAAACAGCTGCCATTTTATCTGGAATAAAACTGGCATTATCTGTGTAAAGGGCATGATGGAATTTTATTGGCAGAGATCTTTGCGGCACATCTTGAAATGAATGAAGAGTAGACCAATCACTCTAGCAGTGATGAAGCTCCTCTGTTCATGGAATTGCTTGTTTGGACAGAACTTCCTGAGTTTTGCATAACTCTACAGTATTTTGCAATTGTAGATGGGAATAGTGTTTCTCTGTATGGAGAAAATTTTGAAGATTCTTTCAGCAACAAGATTTTCTTGACTTCGTATAGGGGCTTCAGCATTTTCAATAGGGATACATTTATTAACTTGTAGCGAATCCAAGGCATTTTATACCTGCTCCACATTTGTACAGATAGTCTTCAACTTACAACCATAATGGTGCCTGTCCATCACAGTTGTAAGTCGTGACTTGTTTTGCTATGGTTAAGTGAATGCTATGGTTGTTAAGCGAACCAGTGGTTTACTCTGGGCACAATTTTGCTAAAAACAAAGTAAATGCCAGTTTTGGCCAAAACTGTAGCACAATGCAGTCATGTGACTGCAGGACACTACAAACAGTTGTAAATGCAGCCCAGTTGCAAGGCCCCTGAAATTTGGTTATATGACCAGGGGAGGGTGACAATTAGAACTTAAACTTTGGGTCGTAAGTAGGCCTCAGGTAAGTCTGTCATAACTTTGAACAGTCATTAGCCAACTGGCCGTAACTTGAAAGCTACCAATTGGCTCCACTTGTTTTATTTCAGCCAGGTTACATGGAATTGATTAATTAATATGTGTCATCAAGTTGTGTTTGACTCTTAGAGACCCCATAGATTTTCCTCATGACTATATGAAATTAAGGATGATTAAACAAATACAGATGCATAGTGATTCATGAGTACTTTGTGTTATACAACTTCAAAGGCTGTGTTCATTCATTGTCTTAAGCTATGTTTTGCTTAAGTGTGGTTTATTGAATAAACCACTGTTGTTTAGTTTTACACCACAGACTGAATCATGAAACTGAGTCCAACTAGTTCATTGGATACATTGCACAACCGTCATCCAATTTGACCAGTTTGGGCTTAGCACAATGCATGAACCATATATAGTCTTTTCATAAATCCTGTTTTATTACCTTGATAGATAAGAACTGTGGGTGACTCCAGTGAATAGCTTAACGCAGTATATGTAAAAGGCAATCCAATGAGATAAGCAAACTCATGAGCCCTGATAGAACACTTAAGGTGCATCTCAGTGTAATTGCTATAGAGTCTTACCCTGAGAAAGGAGTGGGCAGTGACAACTGAACCCTCACAATGTCTGAGTCCTGTATTAGCAGCTGATTTAATTACTATAGTTCATTTTTTTAAAAAACACCACTGTTTTGCTTATTTTTGGCTTTCAGGTACAGAGCTCCTGAAGTGCTCTTGAGGTCCACTAACTACAGTTCTCCCATTGATATCTGGGCTGTTGGTTGCATCATGGCAGAAGTTTATACCCTCAGGCCACTCTTTCCCGGGAGCAGTGAAATTGATACTATTTTCAAAATTTGCCAAGTGCTGGGAACGCCGAAAAAGGTATCTAAATGAGATCTGGGCCTTTGTTGCATATGGAATATTGCAGGCCTGAATATGGATTTTGTCTTTCTCTCAGTGCATTACAGGTCCCATTATGCTGTGTTGATATCAGATAGACAATTAAAATGACTCCAGGTTTATATTATCAACAGCTAAACAATGGCACACTGTATGAAGAACACAAGATAGCATATATCTCTTGATCATGTGTATATTTACTTGAAACTAAGTGAGCTCAGTGGGACTTAGCACTTGGGAAGAAGATATGCCTAGATTGCTCATATTTGTCTTTATTATTATTCTAATGTTTGTTTTTAAGATTATTTCCCATTATAGTTCCTATAACTCTCCTCCCTTTTTTTTCCTCCCCCCCCCCCCCCCCCCCCCCCCCCCCGGCCCGGTAACTTCTGGGCTATTCATTGTTTCCCAGCAAGAAATTCCAGGCATAATATTCTTTCACCACTGTGTATATGTTTTCTTCATATATGTGTACTTGAATTGCTACAAAGATAAGGCTTCCTTCATCTGACAAAATCCCCACTTTGAAAACTCAAGTATGCCAAGAATGGATTTCAAATGACAGAAGGATGAGGTGATATATACCTGTAGTATACATAGACTTGTACAATATTGTGTATGCATAATTTGATATGATATTGTACATTGGAGTACAATCAATCAAATTTTCATCAGCAAAAACATTTTCAAAGATAATGTGTCCCAGAGTTAGGGAAGATGAAAGCTGTAGGACAAGAAAATTTGGATGATTGAAGGATACTCATCTGTCTTTCCCTTAGTGTTCAGTCAAGCCTAGATGAGGTATCTTTTGGTTGTAGTATAGATCCAGTTGATCATACTACAATAATTGGCCCACTCTTAAGGTGAATTGCATTGTACCTTTGTTCTTCTCCTCCAACTACCATATTTTCCGGCGTATAAGACGACTGGGCGTATAAGACGACCCTCTACTTTTCCTGTTAAAATATAGGGTTTGGGCTATACTCGCCATATAAGACTACCCCTCTTCCAACGCACACCAAATAAAAATTAAAAAACATCAGATTTGATTTCAATATGGTAATTTTAATTCAAATGCTTATGACATGCAGGTACTTAGCAGGAAAACTGTCACTTATAAACATAAGGCTGTTTGTCATCAAACATGTAAAACAGTGCAATTGGATTAAACTTTTCCTAATTCACTCTAAAGCTGAAAGGAAGGATAAGACAATAAACCCATGGGAGCTGCCATGCTGTTTGTTTTCTAAGCTGTCAACCAAACTGGAACTGATGATGATAGGAGGAAGATAACAAACAATAGAGGGCAAGTGCCGGGCAAGTCCCTGGCGAGTCAGCAACGCCCATCATAACTGCAAGCTATTTTTTGTTCATCATCTGATATCATAAGTACATCAATGACATCTTGTGATACATTTGTAAGGCAGTCATCATATGGATCTAATTCCGTATCAGATGGTGTGGTCTCAGCTTCGGCTTCCTCTTCATCTTGCCACAAGTAGTCGTCCTCCATACCATCTAATGAATTTGATATGCCACACTTCTTGAAAGACTTGATTACTGTTTCTGCATCAATATCATTCCAGGCTTTTATGACAAACTTGCACAAAACATCCAACTGTGGAGCATGCATGTTTCTTCCTTTTGTGAATGACTTTTCGCCGCTAACCATCCACTCATTCCACTGTTCTCGATTGCGATCTTTAAATGGCTTGTTTAGGCACACATCCAGTGGCTGTACCAATGATGTCAATCATGCAGGAATAACTGCCGCATCTGTGTTTATTCTTGCAAGCCTTTGCTTGGTGTTGGGAGTTAAATGAGCCCTGAACATATCCCACACCAGTAGACTACGTTTTTGAATAAGTCCACCTGGTCGCCTGCTCCATACATTATCAAGCCATAGCTTTACCCCTTCTTCATCCATCCAGCCTTTTTCATTCACATGTACAAAAGAACCAACAAGGAACTTGAGTTTCGGCATTGTTTTTCTTTTAAAAATAACCATTGGTCTCAGTTTGGAGCCATCAGCTGTGCATGCTAGTACCACTGTAAAACTGGACTTCTCATGTCCTGTTGTTTTAATTAAAATTGTTTTTTCACCTTTTGGATGGACAGTTTTATTTCCAATCATATCAAAATTCATTGGAGTTTCATCCATATTTCTTAACGCATAGCCATGTTTATTGCACTGTTGTATTACGTATCGATGGAAACTATTTACTTTGGCATCAAGATCTACAGGTAATTTTTGTGCAATTTTCGTCTTTTGCCTCAGTACCATATTATGCCTTTCCAAGAATCTAGTACACCAGGATACAGTGGCCTTAAATCTGTTGCTGTGATCTGGGTTAGATTTGGCCCACTGAAGTGCAAACAAACGTATTTTATTTCGTGTCACTACATAACCGTTTTGGCGATGCTCATTCACCATGTCTGCTACATGTTTTTCGAGTTCTGACCAATGTGAGGTGTCTCTTCTTAATGCACACTTACCCCTTGGCATACTCTTTAACGCTTTTACATTTGCTTTCCAGTCCCGAACCATCTTTTCTGTTACTCCATATTGTCTTGCAGCAGCACAGTTATTATGTTCCATGGCAAAGTTTACAACTTTAAGTTTAAAACTGGCTTCATATTTCTTTCTTCTTGCTGGTGGAGCCATGATGGGGTCTTGACTGTTAGCCATTTGTATACTGTACTGTATGTACTGGTGCTGTACTGTATGAACCTGTTCTATTCGGAGAACAAAGCAGGACGGCGTAACACAGCTCTTTATTAACAACAAGCTAACTTTTAATAAGGCACACAATTGACAACAGGTGGCCGATTGACAGCTGCTTAAATAGAAGCCAGCAGGGAAGGCCACAAGTCTCCCCTATCTGCAAGCCATCTCTCAGCCCCTGTATGCCCATGCCATGTCAGCCACTTGTATGCCTTCACATTCCTTCCACAACCTGCACCACATCCCTGCACATCTGACTCATGCTGCACCGCTGCTCACCCTCTCCAACCCATGCCATTCCTCTTGTGCATCCTCCCTAATCCACACTGTGCCTCTTGTCTACTGTCTCACACTTTCCTGACCCACGCTGCACCCTCATGCACCATGCTGCACCTTTCATGCACCCCTCAAACTCTTGTACACCCTCCCCACCTCTCACCATACCGCCAACGCACCTCCTCCCTCCCATCCCCACCCAACAGCAGCAACTTATCTGTCTTCCAGTCTGGGACTTGCAATTTCCTGCTGGCTTCCCAACTCACAGCTTGTGGAAAGCCAGCAAGAAGTTGTCTCGCCTACCAACAGTGAGATGTGATTAACAATATCAACCCGGATTGCAGGGATTGCCATTACTAAAGTGATGCAGTCAGTTTTACAACTACATCACTTAGCAATGAAAATTGCAGTCCTAATAAATCCAGCCGTCACAAGTTGAGGATTACCTATAATATGCATGTAAGGCTGCAATAATATTACAAATGTTCCCTTAATATCAGTCCTCTTTAACCCTTTTCAGAACGATTGGCCCGAAGGCTACCAGCTTGCAGGAACCATGAATTTCCGGTGGCCCCAGTGTGTACCAAATAACCTAAAGACCCTCATCCCTAATGCCAGCAGTGAGGCCATCCAGCTCATGAGAGACATGCTGCAATGGGACCCAAAAAAGAGGCCAACTGCCAGTCAGGTCTGATATTCTTTTATTAGCAGCTCTTTATAGATAATACTTGTTGATAGCATAGCACATTTTCTCCCTCAAAACTGAAGGAACCATCAAAAAGGAGAATATGCAGAATAGTTTTTCCTGTTACTGCTTCTAATCTTCGTTGATTTCCTTTTGCTACAAGCCCTAAATCAATGTCCTTACTATGCAGGGTGGGCCCAAATCTCTACTGCAGGGGTACACAACCTTGGGACATTGCCCATTAGTGGACCATGAGGAGTTTGCAAACAGGCTGCGGAAATGGCTGGCAAGCGTGCACACTCATTTTCACTTGCACGAGAGCAGGCAACTGCACACTCCATTTAAGTGAGAGGCATTCATGCATGCACGCTACTTGTGCAAATGGAGCTGCACACGAGTGTGCTTGCTGGCCTCTTGTGCAGAACCATCCCCTCTCCCCCCTCGCCAGTCCACAAAGCCGGACACGTTGGAGAACTCTGCTCTAAAATATATGTGCTGTTGCTGCTACTGTTACAACATATTCTTCAGTTCTTCATGCAGTTGTTACATTAACACAGCATCTCATTTTCTGAAAACATACGATGAGGTTTGCTACCTGACTGAGCATGCTTGTTTGATTGCTTGGCCTTCTTCACTGAATAATGAATTTTTCCCTTGGATTTTAGGCACTTCGATATCCTTATTTCCAAGTTGGCCATGCCCTGGGCCCTTCTCAGTGTATTCGGGAGCTGGGAAAGCAACAGCGAGACCTTCTTGAGAAAGGCCAAAGCCACCTTAAGCCCATTCCGCCAGCAGCACCCCCACCTAAAGCACAAAGTGGCCTCTCATTGAGACCATGTCCGCAGAGCCATTCCTCCCAATCCCTGACCTACCCACACAAAGCAGACTCATCAGTGAGGGACCACTTAAAGGAAGCCAAGCCAAGTCAGGTAGTCTTCCCAGAAATTCACGCCAAGCTTTCTCTACAGGTAAGAAGCTTTGAACACTTTGCATTTTTAAAACAGGTGCGATTATTACAGATTAACAGAGTTGTAAGGGACCTTGTAGGTCATCTAGTCCAACCCCCCGCCCAAGCAGGAGACCCTACACCATTTCTGACAAATGGTGGTTCAATCTCTTCTTGAAAGTCTCAAGTGATGAAGCTCCCACAACTTCCGAAGGCAAGCTGTTTCACTGGTTGATTGTTCTCACTGTCAGAAAATTTCTCCTTATTTCCAGGTTAAATGTCTCCCTGTTCAGTTTCCATCCATTATTCCTTGTCTGGCCTACAGTTGCCTTGGAAAATAGTGTGACCCCTTCCTCTCTGTGGCAGCCCCCCAAATATTGGAACACTGCTATCATGTCTTCTCTGGTCCTTCTCTTCACTAGATTAGCCATGCCCAGTTCCTGTAACCATTCTTCATACGTTTTAGTCTCCAGTCCCCTAATCATCCTGGTTGCTCTTCTCTGCACTTTTTCTAGAGTCTCAACATCTTTTTTATAGCGTGGTGACCAAAACTGGATGCAGTATTCTAGGTATGGTCTTACTAAGGCTTTATAGAGTGGTATTAGTACCTCACTTTGTTCTCTCACTCTATTACTTTCCCTCAGACTAGCTCCCCTCATCAGGTTGCTTTGAGGAAGTAGAGGAGGAAGAAGAGGTTGGTTACTTGGAGACTTCCATTTTCACCAGGAGTTTGCCTTTGTCCTTGGGGGATCTGCTCTCGCCACACTTAGCACTCCATCAGCAGGCATTATGCAGTTGCTCAGAGGCTATTCTAGAGCAGTCTTGGGAACCACCTATCAGAAGATGAGTTGTAGTGCATTAGAGTTGAATTACTACAGATCAAGTGGAGTGAACTTCACTATGTTGAAGGGTATTGATTACTGAGCTACACCATTACAAACAATAAAGTTTCTGCTCAGTTCAGTTGCTGAGATAATGTGTGTAATCCTTAAATGGTCAAAGGATGCCTAATTTTAATGAAAACAGTTGTGAAGCAGCTATTTGAGGCTATGTTCCAACAATTAAAACTATATTGCCTCGGGTTTTTTTTGTTTTTTTTTTTAATTTGATTTATATGCCGCCCTTCTCCGGAGACTCAGGGCGGCTTACAATGCGTTAAGCAATAGCCTTCATTCTTTTGTATATTTTATACAAAGTCAGCTTATTGCCCCCACAAACTGGGTCCTCATTTCACCTACCTTAGAAAGGATGGAAGGCTGAGTCAACCTTGAGCCTTGGAGAGATTCGAACCAGCAGAAATTGCAGGCAGCTGTGTTAATAACAGGGTGCACTAAACCACTGTACTATCAAGGCTCTTGGTTTCTGATGTGTAAATGGTTGGTTTCTGATGTGTAAATCACCATGAATGTATAGATTAGAAATAGTTCAAAGTTACAACAGAACTCCCCCCCACCAAAGGGACTACTGATCTGGATTTAAACTTTGATATCTGCCTCCCCCCCCCATTCATAGCTGCTTGCAGCACCCCACAGTCAGATGATTGTGATTTATATTAGCCTTTTTTCCCTCGAAACCAGCATTTACTCTTAGTTTCTATCACAAAACCGTAGCGAACGATAGGTTTGCTTAATGACCACCACAATGAAAGTCGTAAAATTGGACCTAGCTGTGTGGTGATCTGCTTTACAACCATCATAATTTACCACCAATATTTGGGGCTCAATTAGGGTTGTAAGTCGAGGACTACCTGTATGTTTCTTCTCAGCTCATATGCTTTGATCCTTTCAGATTTATCTAGTGCCAGTACATGGGGGAAACATTTGAAAAAGCATCCCTAAATCAAAGTTTACTGTGGGCATGTCCAAACTTTATGATCCATTCCAAAGATTTTACCTGTGGTACAGATTGCACTATTCATAGCATTCATTTTGCATTCATACAGTTGTTATTTATACATGCTAACTAGGAAGGATTGAATACAATTCTACTTCTCCATCACACGGGAACTAGAGAACTATTAATATGATAGAAACACTGACAAGATTGTACTTTGTCTCCTCAATCCAAATCAGAATCTTTCTCATCCTCCTGTCCCACTTTATCTTCTACTTCACAAACCCTTTTTTGTGTTTATTTTTTGTGTCTTCCTTTTTATTTCCAGTAGGATTTTTCTATAGACATGACTTTTTCATTGTTATTTGCAAAACCACTACACAAATATTACTAAAAATAAGAGCATACAAAAGAGAAATATAAAAAAATCTATGTATGAGATAATTTTATTTAGTTTTCGTGCTTTTGTACCCAACTTTGTTTACTGTTTTTAACCTTTTATAGGTTTTGTTTTCATGCTGCTTCATATCTGATCCAATATTAACTATTGTTGCCATTTCAAATGATGTTCTATTCTTTGCAATGCATACCTGTGGGATACTTTATCTTGTAACAAACCTGTCTATCTAGCTAAGCTTTTTTCTGTTGGAGAAGCTTTCTGTGATTGGAATAAATTATGCATATCTGTTTTGTGTGTACATTGCATTCTGTCTGAATCATTGCTTTCCTATCATTGCAATATCTTCATTTTTGAGAAGGAAGTAGACCAAGAGAAGGAACTGACCATGGGATCAGATTCCAGCAGCTATAGGAGAATGAGAAATCACAACTGGAAGCCGATCACATGCTCACAGAGAGTAACCCCCAATTTCCTTTCATTTACAAAGCAGTTTAAACTCTGGCATATTTTTTATTATGACAGAGAACCTCCATTGCCACAGAAGAAGCCAACGGTGATCTCAAACCAAAGAACCGACATAAATGGGGCCACATTACTGGAACACTAAAAAGTTCTGAGGAGTGGGATACTGTGGAAGAGAGTGCTAGGAAGTCTTCCCTCAGCAGAATGGATTTTAAAAACAAAGGGCAGAGTGATGATGCTCTTTGTAGGTAAGCTTTTGAATTCCTGTGTATTTGGACTTCAACTCCCAGAATTCCCCAGCCAGCCAGCCATTCCTATCCTAATGATATATTTTAAAAATAAGGATGGGCAACATATGGCTTCTCTGATGATGGAGGACTATTAGCCATGTTGGCTAGAGCTGATAGGAAGTTCAGACATCCTTGTTGAGCTGCATATAGCTCCTCCCTGATTTTATAGGCTATATTCCATTCCTGCTTAATGTAAGATCAATTAAAAATTGAACTTAGTAATATCCTTTTCTTTGGAAATATGAATGCACAAATTGTATTGTCACCATGTGTGCAGCCAGTTTGTACTCCTACAGAGCGCAAAATCACATTTTCAGTATCCTGTGTAAATATGCATTTGTGTGTCATGTGGTGATTTTGCTCAGTTAACATACAAAGATCTCTTGATGTTAAGGTAAAACTGCCTCATCAATAGCTATTCAGACTGTTCAATAGCTATCTAGCTGTTTGTTCACATATTTATTTAGAAATGTATCCAAATTGGTTTAATGGAGCTTACTCTCAGAGAAGAACAACTTAGTGACGTGTCTATTAAGACACATCACTAATTGACACATCACTAATTATGTGCCTATTTCCTTCACTGGAGACTCCTGTCCTTGCATAACAAGTATGTGGTGGAGCAGGGCAAAAGTTATTCGAACATTATGTCTCTTTTTCTATGTGACCTTAATTAATCATTTTAGGATGTAGTTACTTTTGGTATTCGAGCATCAGAAAAACGTGTGTTGGAATTTGCACTGAACCTTTAGTTTTCGTTTTAGATTTTTATCCCACCTTTTATTTTATATGCAACTCAAGGCAGGACCGCCTTCTACTACCGAATGCCTCCCACCGTCCGATACGCTCTCACAGAGAGGGCCTCCTCAGGGTGCCGTCGGCCAAGCAATGTCGGCTGGCGACCCCCAGGGTGAGAGCCTTCTCTGTGGGGGCTCCTGCCCTATGGAATGAGCTGCCCCCGGATATAAGAAGGATCCCCAACCTCTGCGCCTTCTGTCGTGCTCTGAATACTCTATTGTTCAATCAAGCCGACCTGATCGAATAAATTAAAGGGTTTTAATTGGTTTTAAAGGGGTTTTAGCTAAGGGTAAATTGCTTTAATTTATTTTAACGGTTTTTAATTTTTGTGATGGGTTTGTTTTAATATGGCTTTACACTGCCCTGAGTCCTTCGGGAGAAGGGCAGTATAGAAATGTAATCAAATCAAATCAAATCAAATCAAGGCAGCAACCATACCAATACTCCTTCCTTCTTCTGTTTTCCCCCCACAACAGCAGCCCTGGAACGATTCAGTTGAACCTTCTTTTGGTCAGGGGGAAAAAAAAGCATGTGAATTGATATAGAGGGGTGTATTGTGAGCGTCTGAAGTGAGTTATTTGTTTTTGGTTACAGATTTGAAAGTATTTTGGATCTGAAATCTTCAGCCTGCATAGGGACAGGAAACAGCGCACCTTCCTATCTTCAACAGGACATGCCAACATGCCAAGTTTCTGCAGCCAAACAACATTACTTGAAACATTCTAGGTATTTACCTGGTTAGTAAAACAAGCAAACCCAAACCATAATCTTTACTGTAATATTTCATAAGAAATGGCATTTAGATTGGGAGGGGGAGGAGTACCATATGAATTCACAACCTCAAATTGCTTGTTGTGTAAATACTTGTTTTTGTTTCCTTTGCTCATGTGTCCAAATAGCAGCAGATATTTTAAACGGCTGACTTTTCAAAATGTTATAAATTTGCTCTACCATGTGAAAGCAGTATCTTTATTGTGGGCTTTGCGGACAATATTTTCCAAGATTAAATTCTATTCAGTTTATGAACTGTATGATTACTTAGGCCATCCTTCCTCCACAGAGCTCAGTCTATTTTTTGATAGTAGCTGGTTTACTTTCACAGAAATCCTGTGAATTATGCCAGATTTCAAAGGAGCAAGTTGCTCAAACTGTTGAGTTTCAAAGTTCAACAGAAATTGGTCTTGTCTAAAACTTGAAATGTATCACAAATGATTTCCCCCCTTTGTAAATTGTCAAAATATAGCTTGCAAAAGAGGCAGGCAACATTAGCCTTTCTGTCGCTCCCAGAAAATATACCACCAAAGCAGCAAACAGAAACTGAATTTCCCATCAGTTTTTGGTAGAAAGCATTTTAAAGGGATGTCAACTTTTGTTGCCTTAACACACCCAAAAGCAAGCAAAATAATTCTCCCCTCTAATCAGACAATGATCTCTTCTTTCATTGTGGCTCTTAACCGCATCCTTCAAAAATATAAAATAAAATAAACAAAAGCCTACAATAATTAGCTGGCGGAAGGTTGGTCACCTTGCTCTATAGGGTCAGCAACTGCAATCAAACAGCTTTTCAGACAAAGCAATGGTGATATCCAAACTAAATGGTGTATCTATCATAACTAGACAGAATGCAAACTTGTGGTTTTGTGTTGAAACTCAGGAGGACATTGGGAAGTCATCATCTGGTTGAAAACTAAGAATGCCAAAGAAAGATCTTTTGTGCTAATTAGTAGTCAGTTTTCACAATATATTTGCACCATCCAGCTGTTTAAATTAACTAAGTAAAGTGACACAATGTTGTCTCTGAGCAGTCCACTTTGCCATTTCTTCATTATTCCAGCATCTCTTTTTTCTTTTCTCTAAAGCCACATACTGATTAACTGTCCAAATGTCTGGATTCCTTCTAAGAAGAAACAAACTTCTAAGAATATTCTTATTCTGAAAAGAATAATCGGCACCAATCAGCAGTAACATTTGGCAAATAAGTTAGTTGGGAATTACAATAGCACAGAAATAGAAGAGAAAAAGATATATTAATATATAATATATCTGTGGCATTTTAACAGCTGTCTTGTTTTGACCTTAGGAATAAGTCCAAGAAATAATTTGGTATCTAGTTCAAGCAAAGATTCTGTCCTACCAAATCCATGGCCAAGTTCTAGTTTGCCTAGAAAGACGTCGGCAACGGCAGGCGGGATCACCAGGCTGAATACTAGTAAGAAGTGTTACTGAAATATCTGCAGGATTTACTGAAGTCATTCTGATCCCCACCATTACCAGTTTTCTGAATGGGATACTTCTAAAAGATCCCTGAACCAAGACCTTAAAGGCATTCTTAGTTTGACTGAGTTCATTGTGTACTTTCTTCCTAATAATTCTGGATAGAATTACAGTCTTTGATTTCCTATGAATTGGACCTTTAAGATTATTATGACAAAAAAAATCACTCCTTTTTAAAATTAACAGTATGCCTTTCACTGTCAGTTCAGAAAGTCTGCTGGCTATAGTACAATCTTGGCCCAATGCTAGTGTATTATATTTCATTCAGGTTGCTGCTTTATGTAACCTTATCAGAGAAATGAAGCTAAGAGAAATGATGAAGCATCATTTCATATGGACCGGGGTTTATTACAAGGATAACAGCTTCCAATAAGCATCATTTTTAACGAAAGAAGTGGGGATAGTGTTCCTTTAGAGCATGGGTGTCAAACTTGCTGCATTGCTGTCATGTGATGTGTCGCGACATTTCCCCCCTTTGTGGAGCTGGGATAGGCGTGGCCTGCGCATGACACATCTGGCCAGCGGGCCGCCAGTTTGACACCCCTTCTTTAGAGATTGATGGCATGGGTATTTTTCCCCATAGGTTATTAAAACAAGACCCTTAAAATATAGCTCAAAATATATATAAAATTGGGGCTTATTATGCTGATTGAAATAATGTTTGCATTTGAAGTTATGTTAATTAAATGCCAGTGTCTAACATATTTAGATTAGGCATTAACTGATGTTACTTTTAAAGAATCAATTGCAAATGGTGTATGGTGGCTAAGGAATGTTTATCTTGACCTTCTGCATTGATGCATCCCCTTTCTTTTTGTAATTTATTTTAGATTGCACAGGATCAAGTGGCCTACTGGGTGCTTATGTCCCTTCCTTTCTGAAAAAAGAAGTTGGCTCTGCTGGCCAGAGAGTGCAGTTGGCACCAATTCTTGATCCGTCTCCTGCAGATTCATCTTCTCGTAAGCTCTGTTTCCCTCTGGAAATGATGATATGCACTATGATAGTAAAGCCACCGCTCTAGAAACTCTGGCATTTCGTTTGAGAAATCCTCACAGTTCACAGCTTCTTGGGCTTCAACTCGATGTTAATTGGGCAACCAGCCAGGCAAACCTCATGTTAATAAGTAACTGCTTTGAAAGGATCTTTTCTTTTGGAAACTTTTGACTTTTTGTGTTGGACAGTCAAAAACAACAAGAAATATAGATGCTTATATTGTATGCTCTATTGTGCCTTGCACTGTTCTACATAATAATGTTCTCTTCCAGTAAAAGAGGATATCCGTAGCTCAGAGTTGAATGGTGGAGTGCTAAGTGGTCTCTGAGCTTGGTTGTTTGTTTGCAGGTGTTTCATTACCCCACTAGCAGTGATAATGAGTATGGGGCTTGCTCTGCCAATGTTGGTGGGGGTTGGTTTTATCCTTGATAGTTCCTTGATAAGGGCACTGCTTTTAGCTTGACTGTTTGTCAGGTGTTAATCCCTGATTATGCAGGTGTTGACTGCTGGAGAATATATGTTCTGGTCTTACTGTTTCCTTTTTAGGGATTTTTATTGTCTCGTTTGAATGTTATGTATTAAAATTTAGATAAACTGGGATTAACATTCAACAAACAAGTAAATAGCAAAAGAACAAAACCAAGAATCAGGAAAACATAACTAATCAGAAAATGTTCTCTTCTTCAGTAGAGAAGTGTGCTCTTGAATATGACCAGTGCTTTTTCTATATTTGGAACTTGGGAATTCATCTTGGTTTTTCTTTCTCTTTTTTAGAACATTTCTAGTTCTTACAGTAGCAAAGACTGCTTAGACAATGCCCAAATAAGTCTTCATAAGGCAAAAGAGGCTTCTGCCTTATGCTCTCCTTATGACTATGCTCTCCTTATGACTATGGGTACTACTAATAGAATAAGTTATAGTATGAAAGGTCCTTGGTGTTCTTTGACCTTGGTTATTTATTTGCAGACATTTCATTATCCAAACAAGGTAATATCATCACTATCTGATGATCCTAGCATTGATGATGTTACCTAGTTTTGATAATGAAATATCTGCAAGAAAACAACCAAGCTCCAAAAGCACCAAAGACCTCTTATTTCAACCCTGGGCTACAAATATTCTCCTTTGTTGATAAGTTATTGTATGTTAACCAGAGATTGTCATTGGGGGGGGGGGGAGGGGGGGGGCTTTTTGAAGCAGAGGTATAAGGAATGTGTTTTTGTTTTTTAAAACTCACCTCTGGGAGCTGCACAGGATAAATTGAAAGATTCAGTGGAGAGATTTTAGTTTAGTTTGAAGAAAAATATATGGATTAAGCTATGTGGAAACCTTACACAGCTATTGCATTGTTGAATTTCTCTTGAGCTTGGCTTTTGGGGGGTAGATGTTTCATTGCCCAACTGCTGCCTTTTAGGGAAGTGAGGTTCATTCATTGGGAGGATTATGCCTGCTCTGGTCCTGGATGGATGGTCCTATTTTAGGACCATTATTTCAAGTGATTGGTGGTGATTATTTATTTAGCTGAGAAGAGTCTGTCTTATGGGCATGTTGGTTCTGCCCTATTGTGATGGTATCTGGGAATGACCTTAAGCGGCAAAAGGAAGACCCCCCCAGCCCAGTCTGATAACCAGCAGCTCAGTCTGCAGATGGAAAAAAAAACACCATGAGAAGCATTTCAGGAGGGACCTTTTCCAGAGACTACAACAAGAGGAGATTGCAAGGTTTTGCTTAATGTAACCTTACAATAAAGATAGTGCTGTTACTACTGGTTGTGCTTCTTGTCTGGACTACCTCACAGGGCTAACACCTCTGTGACCAACACCTGTGTAATGGGATGCCTACAGAGCTATCAACACCAGAATTATTAGGAAGAAAGTACACAATGAACTCAGTCAGACTAAGAATGCCTTTAAGGTCTTGGTTCAGGGATCTTTTAGAAGTATCCCATTCAGAAAACTGGTAATGGTGGGGATCAGAATGACTTCAGTAAATCCTACAGACGTTTCAGTAACACTTCTTACTGGTATTCAGCCTGGTGATCCCGCCTGCTGTTGCCGACATCTTTCTAGGCAAACTAGAACTTGGCCATTGTAGTTTTTATAATTAAAAAGACAACATTTTGCTTGCCTGTTGATTAAATTGTTATTAGGAGAGGAACTCTTTCCTACCATTCCCTATTCTGATATAGAATATCACCCCTCCCAACTATATTTTATTTGGGAAGAACAGTGTCAAAATCTGAATAGATTTTGGATGAACCAAGACCCAACCGTGTCTTCTATTTGCAGAATTCTGAATCCAGTGCTTTAATTTGAAATAGGATGCTTTAATCCGAGTCCCGCGTCTGACTGTCACCTTGACTTGCTCCTTCTTTTTCATGTTCTTCTTCTTCATTTGTAGATTACAGTTCCATGAAGACTATCAGAGCTCATATTGTGAGGCCATCATTTAACATATCTATGAAAAGCACACCAGGGTTGCTGCCGGCCCCACCTCCTGTTCAACCAGTGCATGGAAGGATTGACTGGTCTTCAAAATATGCTGCTCACCGCTGAATGATGGGATGGAGCATGCCTTCCATGACATTGGCTAAACATCCAGTCTCCTGTAACATTTCTTCTGTCCATTTTTTCTATGACTGCGACATTTCAGGACCTTTTAAGAGAGTTTACTTTTTAGTTGTATGTATTTGAATGCAAAGTTGTGTAACTTTTGTATTGTTCTTATTTTATGATTGAGGCATTTATTTTCATAGGACCAATGCACATTTGTATATCAGCATAGAATTGTGGAATTTTTTTTTTTGGTCCAGGGGGTTTTCTAAATAACTTTTAAAATTCACATTTTTAGAAAGAAAAGGATTTTTTCTTTTCTTTTTTGATCACATTTTATATAAACGAATAAATGTAGCAATAAGGCAGTATTTAATATAATTACGATACGGTTCATACTGTAACGACATTTACCAAATATTCTATAAGTTAAGTTTCTGAATATGGTATGCTGGGCAAATAACCCACTGAGTAGCTACCTTCTTCTCTAACTCCATAACGAAATAGCCACAGTGATGGTACAAAGCTTCACTTTTCTGTAGTAAAATATGAGATGGGCATTTTGTTTTTACATGACTGGGAATTATTAGAGCCAGTGTATAAAATCAACAGAGCACAATCTTGACACCCCCCCCCCAGTTGTATAATTTTAGGATATAGATGGTAAAATGTACTTTTGGCAGGGAAAGAGGTATGTTCTTTAATTATATTTTGAACAGTATTTGGTCAGAGTATCATATCTCTATGGCAGAGGTCTTCAAACTTGGCAGCTTTAAGACTTGTGGACTTCATAGCATAGCTGGCTGGAGAATTCTGGGAGTTGAAGTCCAGAAGTCTTAAAGCTGCCAAGTTTGAAGACCTCTGCTGTATGGAATTCTAAAGTTACTGGTTGGTATAATTCACCATAAGTATTACAACATGATTCTGCTCATTGTTAATGGCAGTGAAATATTAAAGTAGTCATGTACTAGGATGGTCACATTTGGACCCCATGCCATTTCATACTTAACACTAGCCTCGTTTCACAGTGAAAACTAAATTTATTATAGGGAATCCTGCTTCAGTTGCGAGCAATATGTTTTGTAGGGTAGTAAGTCTTGGAAACTATTTAAAGCAATATTAAATATGACAAAGCTGGGTTTGTAGAGTAATATAATGAAGTATAAAGTATTAAAATAAGTACCAGCGGCAGCATCAGAGTTGAAGATTTTTATATATTCATAGCCTACATTTTATTTTTAATTCCTTAGCTTTCCTTTTGCCCAAATGCAATTTTGTTGCTTCAGTATAAAGTGAGTAAAAAAATTTCTTTCATATAATTAAAGGCTTACTTTCAGGAATAAGTTGACATTGCTGATTTTTAGAGTATTTAGAAGTAAGTTTCATCCCTTCTAGAAATCAACATAGGGGGTTGGGGTTGTTTTTTTCTGGGTGGGTTTTTTTTTTTTTTTGGTACATCAGAAGTGGAAATCTTGGAGCTTTGGGATGGAAAAAGGTAATAAAAGTTACAGTGCATTATTTTAAAGAAAAAGAATCCAGGTGTTGAAGTTCAGTGGCCCTATCTCCTCTTATGCTGGAAAAAAAGAGGAAGAATTAAACTCTATGCATGTAAAATCACAGAGAAGTCTGGAGGCTGCATCTTCTCAGGGAGAAATAATAATCCCAAATAAGCATTCCAGTTAAGTCTTGGATGTAGCATCCATCTCTCTTCTGTAGTGCTGTTTTCTAGACCCCTCAGTCTGTTGCATGCTATTTACTTCTCTTTTTCATAAAACTGACACTGTAGATAGAAAAGCTACAGTTTGTATATGTTAAGTTCTCCCTATTAAGACAATTAGTTCAATAGCTAATCAAGTATCTGTCTTTTGTGCTGGATCTGAAAACTCCAGATTAAAGCTGGAAAAAAGCACTCCTTTGTTCAGACACCTTGTTGATACCTTCTTCCTCATTGGTTGCAGCAGAGTTTTCCTCCCTGGTGCTGCTCAACTTGTGAGAAGCAACAATGTAGCAGAACTGTCAATATAAATCAGAATTGTTCAATTGCAGTTGATTACTAAAGGCAACAATTAATGTCAAAGACAACAGAAGTGCCTTGGAAAATAACATTTTCAACAAGGCTAGTCCAATATTATCCTAAGAGAGCAGGATTCCCCCCCCCCCCAAAACGGATGTGCTATATAAATTGATCAGCATTTATGCTGAAGACAAAAATATGCAAACTCCTCTAGCCATTTTCACTGGTGTTGGATTTTATGCTTTTTCTAAGTTGTAAAAAAATCTGCAGTGTTTAAAAATATCTCATTGTCTAAATTGAAATTATATACCAGCTACATTTGGCCATTAGTTATTTTGAGAAACCACTAAATAATATAATCATATAGTGAAATATGCACAAAAGCAATCTATTCCACTATAGTCCTCCATAGTTCTTTCTGTCTGGAAGGAAGTAACCTGGAAAGGAAAAAAAAAACCAGAGCCATTTTAAAAAATTCTATCAAAAACGTGAGATGATTTAAGAAGAATGCATGCATAATTAATGGTAAAATTAGATTTGTACCAGATAAAAACTGCAAACTCATTCATATACTCATGCAGCAGATCAGAACTTGAAAGATAAATGCTCCCTTTATCCTATTTTAAAGTAACGCAAACCTATCTATTTCTCATTTATTTAAACCATCCTTAATATAATTACTCATAGTAATACATTCCTGGGAAGTTACTTATGAGTAAACAAAGTTTCTGTCATCCTATTGAGCAATACTTATTCATAACATTTGTTGAGGATATAAAAATAATTCTGTTAATACTTCTGTCAGTACAAATTTATCAGTGTTGAATGAGGTTACTATATTGCCATCAGAAATCTATGACTTGCAGATCATTGCAGCCATAGAAAGCTTTAGGTATTTTTTAAAATAAAAGTAGTGTGTCCTGTGGTTGAGAACAGTAGGTATAGAAAGTATTAAAATTTAATTTGAATAAGCAGGTGTATCTGACAAATGAAAATTGTCCATTTTTTCCTCCTTTATGTTTGTGCTTGCTTCTTTTTCTATCTCAGAAAGTCCTTTCCAAAATAAAATTATTTAAACATTGTTTGATTACTGTTTCATAATTTCTGCAATAACAAATGTGGTGGTTATTTCCTAAATACTCTTTGAAAAGAAATACACTTTGAAGTCTTCTGGTTGCTGTGTAATTGAAAATATATATCACATTTTTCCAAGGTGATTTATTTGCTCTTAGGAAATAATGATGAAAATATTTATAATCGAAAAGTGAAGAGCTAAGATGGCTCTCAAAATTAACTAGCTAAGAGCCAGTTGTGAGTTTTTATGATTGTGAGAAATTCTGTAGAGTATTAAGTATCAGAAGTACTCAGAGCATGCAATAATTGCCATTTTATTAGTAAACCAAATGTTCTAGCTGAACAAGGAATATGGCAAGAGAAACTAGCTATTCCTCTAAATGAGATTTTTTCCCCAGTAACTGCATGTAGTGTAGTGTATAAAATATAGTGCACAGTATAGAATATGTTTAAATGAAAGAGGCTGCACCAGTGGTGGGTTGCTACCCCGGATCGGGCGAACCAGTAGCGGCGTGGGAGGCTTTGCCCACCTGCACATGCACAGAAGCGTCGCACATGAGGGTGCTCGTGCCCATGAGCAAACCGTAGCAACAGGTTTTGAAACCCGCCCCTGGGCTGCATATGGCTTTTTTAAGCATTTTTAAAAAACCCTTTGAATGCATACATTTGCATGCATCTATGTCTCTATCTGTATGCATATAAATAATCTTCAAAATCTTCTACTTCCATAGCTTTACTTCTAAAAAACACAAGAACAAGTCCTTATGTAAAATTAACATTCCCCCAATCGCAATGACAATTATATAGCTGATAAAAGAAAGGGCTGCATTTCTCAAAAAGATGGGGGCATATAGGAAAATAAACCTTGAAACTTCCACTCAAAAGTCTTCCCTTTTGTTTAAAAAGAAAAGAGCAAAAGAAAACCCTGATACTTCAAGTAAAACTCCAGTGTTTTGTTTGTTAGGTCCATTGTGAGACATTGAAATTCCTGATATGCTCAGGTACTTCAGATAATAATACAGAATATTTACCTGGGCACGGAGAAATCTGATTTTTATATTTCTATTTTTATTCCTCCCTCTCACAATACCTTGAGGCTGTTAAGGGCTGAATGGGAATCAACAGAGCTGAAACATCCCTGGCAAGACAGAATGCGTCTGGGTTTGGACTTTTTTGGTCCATGGAGAATTGCCCTCTCTGGTCTTGGATAAGATCACACCACCCCAGACAGACCTGGTGGGTAATCTGGGGATTCTCCTGGACTCATATGACTCCTGCTCAAGGAGCAGGTGGCAATTGTGGCCAAGAGGGCCTTTACACAATTGCAGATTGTGCATTAGTTATTCCCTTTCCTGGATCAGCAATCCCTGCTTACGGTCACTCCTATTTTGATTGCAATATGCTCTACATGGAACTTCTCTTGACAAGTATCCAGAAGCTACCATTGGTTCAAAATGTGGCAGCCTGCATGGCTCTGTGCAAGTCTAGATTTGCTCATGTGTGATCTTTCCTGCGGGAGCTGCATTGGCTACCAGTTTGCTTCTGGGTCCAATTCAAGCAGCTGGCTGTCACCTTTAAAGACTTACATAGCTTGAGGCTAAGTTATTTGAAGAGCCATCTTTTCCCAGTTATATCTACCCAACCCACCAAAGCAGGGAGGCAGGGTATGTTATGGGTCCCTTCTGTTAAAGAGGTCCATCTGGCAGGGCCAAGCAGAAAGGCTTTCTCCATGGTGGCTCTCTCCCTAATGTGGAACATCATCCCTGCTGGAGTAAGATTGGCTCCCATTTTGACACTCTTTCAAAAGGACCTGAGGACACGGTTTTGCCAACGAGTCTGGGGACCTCAGTATGGAACCCATTGAGTGGTTGGTTTGATTGTTGTCACCATGGGGAGTGGGGGTTTATTGGTTTTTGCACTAGAGTTTTATTTTTTTAAGCCACCCTGAGTCACTGTAAGTTGGGTGGTCATACATTTATTAATAAATAATAAATCCCTAAATACATTTTGGGTGTCACATAATACTTTTGTTGGTTGTTGATATTTGAGCTGAATTTTCACTATTTCTAGATTTTTGTAACTTCCATCAATGGTTAAGCACAAACAATTGAATGGTTAGGTACTAATGCAATGCAGCACTTTATCCATCAGTAATTTTGAAGATTTTTTCTTTATTTACAAAAGACTTTGTACAATGATAATCTTAAGAAAGCTATCAATAGAATCTAAGTCTCCATCACCACTGAAGCAGCCTCTGCATTTACAAAATGATGTTTTCCCAATATACACTGCTCAAAACAATAAAGGGAACACAAAAATAAGACATCCTAGATCTGAATGAATGAAATATTTGTAGTAAATACTTTGTTCATTACATAGTTGAATGTGCTGACAACAAAATCACACAACAATTATCAATGGAAATCAATGGAGGTCTGGATGTGGAGTTACACTCAAAATTAAAGTGGAAAAAAACACTACAGGCTGATCCAACTTTGATGTAATGTCCTTAAAACAAGTCAAAATGAGCTCAGTAGTGTGTGTGGCCTCCACATGCCTGTATGACCTCCCTACAACGCCTGGGCATGCTCCTGATGAGGTGGCGGATGGTCTCCTGAGGGATCTCCTCCCACACCTGGACTAAAGCATCCCCCAACTCCTGGACAGTCTGTGGTGCAACGTGGCATTGGTGGATGGAGCACGACATGATGTTCCAGATGTGCTCAATTGGATTCAGGTCTGGGGAACGGGCAGGCCAGTCCATAGCATCAATGCCTTTGTCTTGCAGGAACTGCTGACACACTCCAGCCACATGAGGTCTAGCATTTGCGTGCATTAGGAGGAACCCAGGGCCAACCGCACCAGCATATGGTCTCACAAGGGGTCTGAGGATCTCATCTCGGTACCTAATGGCAGTCAGGCTACCTCTGGCGAGCACATGGAGGGCTATGCGGCCCCCCAAAGAAATGCCACCCCACACCATTACTGACCCACTGCCAAACCGGTCATGCTGGACGATGTTGCAGGCAGCAGAACATTCTCCAGGGCGTCTCCAGACCCTGTCATATCTGTCACATGTGCTCAGTGTGAACCTGCTTTCATCTGTGAAGAGCACAGGGCGCCAGTGGCGAAGTTGCCAATCTTGGTGTTCTCTGGCAAATGCCAAACGTCCTGCACGGTGTTGGGCTGTAAGCACAACCCCCACCTGTGGATGTCGGGCCCTCATACCACCCTCATGGAGTGTGGCCCGCTGGAAGCCATTTTGCAGGGCTCTGGCAGTGCTCCTCCTGTCCCTCCTTGTACAAAGGCAGAGGTAGCAGTCCTGATGCTGGGTTGTTGCCCTCCTACGGCCTCCTCCATGTCTCCTGATGTACTGGCCTGTCTCCTGGTAGCGCTTCCACGCTCTGGACACTACGCTGACAGACACAGCAAACCTTCTTGCCACAGCTCGCATTGATGTGTCATCCTGGATGAGCTGCACTACCTGAGCCACTTGTGTGGGTTGTAGACTCCGTCTCATGCTACCACTAGAGTGACAGCACCACCAGCATTCAAAAGTGACCAAACCATCAGCCAGAAAGCATAGGAACTGAGAAGTGGTCTGTGGTCACCACCTGCAGAACCACTCCTTTATTGGGGATGTCTTGCTAACTGCCAATGCTTTCCACCTGTTGTCTATTCCATTTGCACAACAGCATGTGAAATTGATTGTCAATCAGTGTTGCTACCTAAGTGGACAGTTTGATTTCACAGAAGCGTGATTGACTTGGAGTTACATTGTGTTGTTTAAGTGTTCCCTTTATTTTTTTGAGCAGTGTATATCTCAGGCTGTCACAATAAAATTCTTCACAGGTGTTGCACTATCTTAGGGGCATTATATGGTTGACCTCTAACATAAATTATTACATCTTCCAACATTAGCACTTTCATGAAAAGTATCTCCTTATATAACATTAGAGGATTTAAATTTCTATTACTTTATTCTTTCTCTATTTTTTCGTAATCAAAATAGTTTAACTAGTTTTCACAATGTATGAAGAATTTAAAAGCTTGATGAATTTTTTTTTTTATTGGAAAAGTTTTACGATTACATTTTCTCCCCATTTCCCCCCCCAACCCTCCCTAACCTCCCTAACCCCCCCTCCCCCCGGACTTCCACAGAATATAATCCAAATCAAAATCCCCTTTTTATAAAACTTGAACCCCTCCTCCCCCAATATATTTTTTCATCTTCACAAAATTCAAATATTTCTATAACACTTTCAATTAAAAGCTATCTGATACTTCCTAGTTTGATATTTGTTCTGCACATAATCTATCCACTTTTTCCACTCCCATTCGTAAGTCTCTTGTGAGCGATCTTTTAGATATGCTGAAATCTTCGCCATCTCTGCAAAGCTGGCCATCTTCAAAGTCCATTCCTCGATAGTGGGCGTAGCTTCATTTTTCCATTATTGACCTATCAGTAATCTCGCAGCAGTTATCATGTACAATATCAACTTTGTTTCACCCAGTGTAAAACCCTTAACTATACCCAATAAAAACAATTGTGGAGAAAACTGAATTTTTTTCTTCAAAACATTCTGCATGACCCACCAAATTTTTATCCAAAAAGCCTTCACTTTCTTACAGGTCCACCAAACATGATAATATGTAGCATCTAAGCAATCACATCTCCAACATTTTGGTTGAACATTAGGGTACATGCACGACAATTTCTTAGGATCTAAATGCCATCTATAAAACATTTTATAAAAATTTTCCCTCAAATTCTGCGACTGTGTAAATTTAACATTCTGAATCCAATTTTTTTCCCATGTTTCCAACATCACTGGTTCTGCAAAATTTTGTGCCCACTTAATCATACAATCTTTAACCAATTCAGTTTCTGAATCCCTTTCTAACAAAACATTATAAAGCCTTTTAATATGCATTGGACCTTTTTCTTTTATATGTCTAACCAATTCTTCCTCATGCAACATAATACCAATTTTTTGGTCCTCTTTC